TGGGTGTTTTATGAACTATGCCTATTATTACCTTACAGAGAGTGACTGGTATGGAACCCAGTGGATTTGTGGTACTAATTTATAGCCTTCACATCTACAGGGATGGATACGAAGGTGTAGCCTGGGATTCCCATGAATTTAAGGTCATACATGTTAACAAATTAGAGGTAACCCCAACCAATCTACCACTGATATGATCCCAGTGGGTCAAGGATCTGTATTCTACTGGTATGACCATTTAGCAGCTTGTGTGTGTGTGTGTGCATGTGTGTGTGTGCACGCCGTCAATGGGGTTAGAGGATATAATTGGCCATATTAAAGCCTTAACAACTTTCATAAGCTTTAAATGATATTAACCGGGCTATTTAACCTATTGAATTCTGAAATCTCTATGATGAGAAAGGCAGTGCTACACAACTGCAAGGTCCTTGACACCTTAAAGCATCTTGGGGAAATATCTGTGCTGTAATTCAAAGTGAATGCTATATTTTCATACCTGATAAATCCTTTAATGTAACACATTTGATGAACCATATGAAAAACCAGACTTCTGCTCTAAGTGACCCATCCCCTAGCCTTGACGATCTTTTAAAAACTGGTTTGGTGTGGGAGGCTCATGGCTAAAATATTTACTTTTAATTCCACTAATGTTATTAACTATACCTTTTGCATTTTGCTTGTTTCACAAGATTATTATTTCTTGTATTACCAAATGCATGACTGAGCCTCCAGTGAAAATAGTAATGACTAGATTTGAAGCAGTTGATCAAATGTATAGCTTGATGTACGATCAATGATTGCAATAGTGTAACTCTAGGTATGGGAAGATGCAATTAAAGGGAATACTTTCCTGGACCATAACTAAAAGACCAAAGATCTTTGACTATTAAGACCTAGTCCAGTAACAGCACATTGAGTGGCCTATCAACAAAATCCTTCTTCAGATCTGGGAACGAGCCTTTCCAGCAACACAGGACAAAACGGTCATGAAATGCCCCCCAAAGTATGGTCGGATTTATGACCACAAGGGGGCCGTGTCAACTGAAAATTGGCACTTACCAAGAGCATTGCCAACAAGTGAACAACAAAGGCATTTGCCATCTGCCTCTACAGAGACTGAACCCCGTGCTGCTAGAGCAGTTGACCTTCAACAATCCCTGAGGGAATGCAGGGTGGGTGAGGCACTCTGCTCCAGGGAATCTGGTGGACAGGTCTTTAGATAGGTGGGTGTTTTTAGGAACAGATTTTATGATCTCAGTCCTTGCACCTCCTCATATCTAGAGAAGCACTAAATCCCTTCATGGTGACATCAGATCCTCATGACTAACAGAAAAAACCCTTTTGTAAAATGAGTGCTTCATGGTATTGAATTCCCCCTTCACCAAAACCTTATATATTGACTTCCCCCCACTGCCGCTTTGGAGCAGTCTCAGAGCTGTCTGAGATGCTGCCTCCAGGGCTGCAGTCCTCATCTTGCCCCAAATAAAACTTAACTCGCAACTCTCAAGTTGTACATCTTTTTTCAGTTGATAGAAGCAGCACCATGTGAGGGATGGGGAACACAGCAGGAAAAGGTATGCAGAGAGAAAAGGCCAGGTGGGATCCCCCTAAATCTCTGAAATACCTGAGATCTCCAGAAAGTCTTGCTTGCCTCTCCCCTCACCCTGGTTGCTCTCACCTCTGCAGCCCTGGTTCACCCATTCCTAGCCAGTACCAAGCTCTCAGTGGACCTGGGCCAACCCTGGACTCTTCCTCTCATTCTGTCTGGCCAACTCCTACTCGTCTTTGAAGCCTCTGCCTCAAGAGCAGTTCTACAGAAAAGTCTCCTGGGACCCCCATCCCTCCACTCCTCTCCCCATGAACTCTTTCTACTCAGGGCTTGTGTTTGAAAAAGTGAAAGTTGAAAGTTAGTTGCTAAGATGTGTCCAACTCTTTGCAACCCCATGAACTGTAGCCTGTCAGGCTCCTCTGTGCGTGAAATTCTCCAGGCAAGAATACTAGAGAGGGTTGCCATTCCTGTCTGCAGGAGATCTTCCTGATACAGGGTTGGGACCCGGGTCTTCAACACTCAGGGGGATTCTTTACCATCTGAGCCACCTTTAGTTAGCATCCATTTCCTGTTCTCTCCTGTAAGCTCTGTGAGGGCAGGCACATGACTGTACTGTTCTATAAATACTTGTGAGTAAATGATCTGTGTGTGAGAGAACACGGCGGAGGAGAGCAAGGCTAGGGCTGAGTTCTGGCAGGTAGGGACTCAGACATGCCAATCTCCAAAGCCTGGTGGAGCTGCTGCTGTGGCCTCTCTGGGTCACCTTTGCATAAGAAAGTCAGGGGCCTTGGTTATTTAATGGGAATCAGGTCATGTTGTTAAAACACTCACCACCCCTCCGCACTCCACACAGGGGGCTCCTCCCAAGGGTCCAGGACCACAATGCATATCTGGGGAGGCAGAGGGTGGAGGAGATGGACTGTCTGGGTCCCACAGCGTGTCCCCTCCCAAGAGCTCCCACCCACTGCCCCCACCAGAGGCCAGGGAGGAAGGAGGCCAACCAAGAGAACTCTGCCTGGATGGGCCAAGTGCTGTGTTCAGGTTGTGAGAACACCAGAAGCAGAACCACTATGAAAGAAAGAAAGTGAAGTCACTCAGTTGTGTCCAACTCTTTGCAACCCCATGGACTGTAGCTTACCAGGCTCCTCCGTCCATGGGATTTTCCAGGCAAGGGTACTGGAGTGGGTAGTACCAGTGGAAGATCTACCAGTGGAAGATCCAGGGGATCTTCCCAACCCAGGGATCAAACATGGGTCTCCTGCATTGCAGGCAGATGCTTTACTGTCTGAGCCACTGCGGAAGCCCAAGAGCCACTACAGTAGTTTCTAGAAGACCGGCGCATTCATGATTTTATTCTGAAGCTCACAGGGCATGTAGGACTATCCTCATTTTATAGATGAGAAAATTAAAGCTCAGAGAAGATGCAACATTTACTCAAGGTCACACAAGTGAAAGGGGCAGATCCAAGACACCTGTCCCTGGAGAGAGTGGTGGCTGTGTGTGTACGTCTGTGTCCAAGAGGGGAACAATCACCCCTTTAAAAAACACATGAAAAAAATAAAGCAAGAAGAAGGCTGGACCTCCATAGGAAGAGAGGGGAACACAAACTCTCTTTTTCCTTTTCCCAGAACGGCAGCCTGTGTGAGCCTGCAAGGCCCTCACATCTGTCCCCTCATACAAAATGAAAGAGGTTCTGAAAAACAAGAGGGGCTGTAATAAAGCATAGACTGTGCTGGCAGCGGAGCTGTGCCCAGCGTGTCCTGTCACTGTCACCACCGAGGAGACAGCAGCCGGGTTGTTCCCGCACCCAGGCTTCTCTCCAACTCCGGAGCTCCCAGGGAGGGGCATACAGAAGGACACACTCGGGCAAGACCGAGGGAGGAGCCAGGAGCCCAGAGACCAGCTACGCGGGAGCAAACACAGCTCTACTGTGAGCAATCAGGGGCTCACACTCCAGTAACATCACTATTGTTACTCGGAATCCTCCCAGAAATCACAGACTGGCCATCTCTCTTAACAGGGCTGTATTAGGTACCCACTGCTGCATGACAGGACTTCCCTAGCGGTCCAGTGATTAAGAATCCAAGCTCCCAACACAGGGGATCCAGGTTTGATCCCTGGTCAGGGAACTAGAGCCCACATGGCCCAGTGAAGACCCAGTACAGCAAAAAAGAAACAAAACAACAACAACCTTGGAAGGGACCCCATCACTCTTGCCACATGTTGCCAGTCACACAGGCCCACCCAGGTACAAAGTGGCAGGGCATGACACAAGGGTGTGGATACAGGGAGGGGAGGGCTTGGGGGCCACCCCGGAGGCTGGCTACCGTGGAAAGGCTGCAGTATTTGGGCTGAGTCAGTTCTACACTGGGTTGGGCATCCCTGGTGCACCCCCCCACCCCACCCCCCACCAAAAGCCAGTAACTTTCTCCAGGGCCAGTCATACTGCAGCTCAAACATCTCCCTTTTCCCTTCCCTACTTCCCCACTCCTCCCAACTCCCATATTTCCAAAGCATCACAAGACCACTGGCTTCATCCCTGTATTTTACCAGTGAGCACATGGCTTGGCAGTAAAGCAGAGGACACCTATAACATGGGCGAGGGGGTGCAGAACAACCACAACCACGGCCACTCAGGTGCGCAGCCCACCTCACTGAGCTTTCGAAAACGTGGGCAAGTTACTCGTCTCCTTCCCCTTGAGGTTCCTGATCTGGGAAATGGAGGCAAAAGACCTAGCTCGCAGAGCTGTTGTGAGGGATAAATGAGATCCTGTGTGTTGAGCCCCTGGCACATGGTAAGGACCTGTAAACCACTGTACATGGCATAGTTACTGGACTCCTGCTAGACATGTGCTGTTTCTATAATATCCACTGCTTTAAGGGAATGACCCTGGCCAGCTGAGAAAGAACACTCTCTTCTGAATCAAGAAGCTCAACCTCTGCTCTTGGCTTTGGGTGAGTTGCTTTAAACTTTCCTGGGCTTCAAGTCCCCCAGTTATAAGTTAGAAAAAAAAAATCATTTTCTGTTATTTTTTCCTTTCCAGTGATGCTATGAAGAAAAAGAAAGAATAGGTGTAAAAAGCCTTTCAGGATTTCAAGGTGGGGCACAGGGAACAAGGGCCAAGCTCTGTGTGTGCTTCATTTTACGTCCCCATAGAGGTGTGTCAGCAAGGATACACTGAGCGCCCACTATGTGCCAGGCACTAGGCAAGTCAGCCACTCCCAAAGCAGATCACAGGATGATGCTTTCTGCGACTAGAACAAGCAACTTCGAGCCGACAGCACAGAAAACTGCCATTCTAGGAGGCCTGCTAGTCCACATGAGGAAGTTCTAGAATCTGGGATACATGGAACCATGATGGATACATATAAGGTGCTACTTATAATGATGAAAAGGATGGTAGCCCAGCTCAGAATCAATGACATTCTACAATCCAGAAACTGTAACAAATTCATTTGCTGGCCCCTGGGAAGGCTTCACTGAGAGATGCATGCAAAGAGGGATTTATGAAGGATGTATTGGGCTTCTCACATCAAGAAGCTGTCCAGGCAACAGGAACAAGTAGAGGGTGTCCACAGAGGCATGAGATGGTATGGTCAGTTCCAGGGAGTGGGAAAAGTCCAGTGGGTGGAGATACTTATTACCTAGACAGCCAGGAGTCATGAAAGGTTTAAAATCAGGCAGTGATATGATCAGATCTCTATTTCAGATAGAAGTGGAAAGAAATCAGAGGTGCTGAAATCAGTTAGGAAGTGACTGCAGGTTGCATGGGTGAAAGATGATGGCTGCCTGAAACCTGCCAAATGTAGGTTACTCAATAGCTGTTTACAGTGAATGACTGCGTGTCACTATACAGCTATATACAGGGACGTGTTATGCATTGTTCTAGAACAGGATGATTTCAAATAGGTTCTATTCATTTCTTCACCACCCACACACTCTGAACTCCTTCCTCACCTTCTGCCGGCACCCCAGCAATTCCTGCCCCGTCAGTACTTTTCTCGCTAAAATCTTCCCAGTTTTCCAAACAGGATGAAACCTGTTTTGCATTTCAGGTCATTTCCTCCCTAGGAAGAATTTTGTGAGTCTAGCAGTAATTACCTCACTACTTTTCAAGTCTTCCCCTGGATGCCGGCAGCAGCCAGAGCCCTCTGGCTGACGTCAGTATTAGTCCTACCACGTCAACGTCAATCACACTTCATCCTCACTGGCTATCACGTGTCTGTGTACATTTAGTCCCTCGTACTCTGCTCAGAATCTCTCTACAAAATGTACTTACCTGTGTATTCATAAAAATATGGTCTATCAATTTCTCCATTGAGATGCCAGGTCCAATGGCTTGGATTTCCTGGGTGTTTCTCCCTGGCTCTACAAGGATTTTCAAGGTCCCCAGAGGAGAAGTTTAGGACACATCTCCTGAAGACTAACCTTCATGACCTGCAGCAGCCCCACACAGGTGCTGCCTGAAGGTTTCCACCAACATAATCATATCTCTGTTTAGGGAAAGTGACTTGGATGGCTACAGGGATGCAGCCACTCTATGCCACCAGTCCCTTATTCCACATCTTGGTAACTTCTATGACAAGCGATGAAGAGGTAAGCTGTTACATCCTAAAAGGGGGTGGCTAGAAGATTCCACCAGAAGACAGGGGAAACACCTGCAGCCCAGCTGAAAACCACACTACACAGCTAGCAAACGGCTCGCAGCTCTTGAACACATGTTGTCCCATCTGATCCTCCAGCCACCACCACAGGGTACCGAAGACAGGCATTTCTTCTCCCAACTGATCAAAGCACTAGAGCACAGCAAGGTGAGGTGACAGGCTTCAACTGCTGCCACTAAGAGGAGGCAGTAAAGAGATATGAACCCTAGAGTCCTGTCTCCCATCACACAGGTTATTATGAAATGTCAGCCCAGGATGGTGGTTCTCAAAGGCAGTCCGCAACTGGCAGCACCAGCATCCCCTGAGCTAGTGAGAGAAATGTCACCCCAGAGCCACTGAATCAGATATTCTGGGGCTGGGATCCACCACTCTGTCTTTTAACAAGCTCTCCAGCCAAAGGGGATGCACACAAAAGTTTGAGAACACTCTCCTGGGACCTGGAGATGGATAACATAACACAGACAAAAGGATTTTAATCCCACAAAGCCTGTGTGTCAATAGAAAATGCCTGGGAGGAATTAGTTCAACTGTACAGAGTGCAGGTTCTCTCACTGAAGTCAACCTTAGTTCCCACTATACCAGCATGTAATGGACACTGTGTACGGTCGTTCAGGTTGTGCACTGCATAACTCAGAAGGAACAGTGCCCTCGGAGATGTGCTGCATAGCCATGTGCGGTGGCCACGCTGCTGGTCTCACGTGGTGGTGGCAATGAGCAAGACAGAGTGACCAGAAACAGGATGATAAGTGAAAGTGAAAGGTGCTCAGTTGTGTCCGAGTCTTTGCGACCGTGTGGACTGTATGGTCCATGAAATTCTCCAGGGTAGAATACTGGAGTGGGTTGCCGTTCCATTCTTCAGGGGATCTTCCCAACCCAGGGATCGAACCCAGGTCTCCCATGTTGCAGGTGGATTCTTTATCAGCTGAGCCACCAGGGAATCCCAAAAACAGGATGAGAAGGTGGGATTCATGTCATCACACATGAGAGTCATTTTTTCTAATTCTAGAGGCCCTGGGCCCCCACCACAAACCCAGCGCCAGTCCCCTGAGAGATGGTACATCTCAACCCCTACACTGACTCATCTGTTCTCACAATAGGGCACACGATCATGTGATGTGGACCAGTTCAGAAGAATCAGTAGAGATTCCTGAAAGGGATTTTTTTTTTTTTTTTTTAAACAGAGAGCCAAGTGAAGAGAGAACAGGCTGCCTGGGCACAGGGAAGATTCAGAAAGAAACTGGACAATTATTAATACCCATGGCAAGGGAGGATCAGGCTCCTTTCATAGACTATTTTATCTAGTCATGGAAATGAAAGTAAAAGTGTTAGTTGCTCAGTCATGTCCTACTCTTTGTGATCCCATGGACTGTGGCCCACCAGGCTCCTCTGTGCATGGGATTATCCAGGCAAGAACCCTGGAATGAGTTGCCATTTCTTTCTCCAGGGGATCTTCCCCACCCAGGAATCAAACCCAGTCTCCTGAATGTTAGGTGGATTCTTTACCATCTGAGCCACCAGGAAAGCCCAGTCATGGAGATGGATCTGTGCAATCCACAAGGAAACTGTATGATAGCATACAGCACTTGCCCTAGGTTGTACAACCACTAAATACCATAGTCGGAATTTAGGCTTGGGCTGTTCAACACTAGGGTGACCAACTGTCTCAGGCATGGCTCCTGGGACACAGAGCCTTCAGTGCTAAACCAGGAAATGTGGGTTCACTTATCCAGGGTGAACCAGGATAAGTGGTCACCCTGCCTAACACTGAGAGTTCTCTAGCTCCAGCCACAGTCAGTGGATCGCATTGCTGATGCTGAAAACCTCTGTCCAGCTGTATGCTGCATCCTGGGAGAAGCTCATTCCTGACACCTGCCTCCACATCTCAGGCAAAGTCTGGGCTGACCTGTATCACCTTCACAATGGGACAGGGGGACAAGAGTAGAAAGGTGAGTCAGGGTTCACGCTGGCATCCAGTGGGTTTTATCCCTACTGGATGGTCACCGTCTGCTTCCACACTGCAAAGGGGTTACTCTTGAGGAAGCAAAACAAGGCATCATCTCTCCTGGGCTCTGGTTCCCTGACAATGGGCCTTTGGAGGGTCCCCTGGCCCCCTGTGAGGTGACAGGGCATCCTCTCATACTGTGTTCATGTGGACCTAAGGGGGTCTCAGAGATGCGTGGATGAGGAATTATAAAACCCAACAGAATGCCCTAACCCGAGGTCATATATTACATTCAAGGGAAAGCCTAGATTCAAACCTAAACTCCTGACCCCAAATCTGAGGACAATGGAATAAACATGGAGCTGATTCATCAACAGAGCTGAGGATCCAGGTCATGGCAGAGGCTCATCTGAGGATGGTGGGGGTCCCACCTCAAGTCTGGCTGTGGCACACTCCTGCTCACAAACACGGAATCTCAAATGCTCTGAAAAGCAGTGGGATCCCATCCACCTGGTGACACCCTGGGCTTGTGGGGAGCAGAGGTGTCCAGGTGGAGTGTGCCCGGGGTGAGCCTAGCCACTCCATGTTGGAACCAAGGGGAGGCCCTGCAGCTGGAAGCCCCGAGGGCCCCTGCACTGTGCACACATCCAGTTATGTCCAGTATTCGCCCAGTAAACGGAGTTCCCAGTTACTCCATTTACCAACAAATGCATGTGGTATTTGGGCTGGTTTTATCCCCTCAGCTCCTATTCTATGTTTATAGAGCTAATATATTTGGATCAGAGAAATACATCTGGAGAAGAAGGCCACTCGGGGGAGGGCAGGGGCTGGTCTTATCTCCGAGAACTGCTGTCTAGAATCTGCCCTTGGCACACCAAGGGACCCAAGTCAGATGATAGTGATGAATATCAGGGAGCTGGGGCCGCAGGTGGCCTCTCCCGGTCTCTGAGTGTCCCTTCTAGGAGGGCATCTACGGGAATGCTCTCTCTACTCCTCCTTCTATCCAGCCAGCCAGCATAAAAAAGCTTGCCTTGTGCCAAGCCTTGTGCCAGGATGAGGGAATATAGAGGAAAATAAGACACAGGCTCTTGCCCTCAAGGCACTCACAGTCAGCAGAAGAGACAGACAAGCAAGGCAACACAACACAGCCTCAGGTAGCGCAGCCGAGGAGCAGATCTGGGAGAAGGTGGTGAGAAAGAATAGAAGGCAGATGGAGGCTGGGAGGGAGCGGCAGGAGACAGCCAGGCCCAGAGACGGGGGCTAGGAGGAGGGGTGCTGGGCAGGAGACCAGTGCTGGGCAGGAGGACCACAGGCATGCACACACGTGAGTGGGAACAGACACAGAGCCTGGTGGTGACCTGTCTGCACCTGCGCCCCACAGAGATCCCTGAGCCCTGGACATCTCCAACCACACCTGTGTGCAATCAGGGCCCTCGGTCATCTCAGGCTCCCCAGGGAGCCAGCTGCTCATGGGCCCATGGGCCCACCAGTCCCCTGAGATGCATGACGCTGAGTGGAGCCCAGTACCCCTGGGCCACCTCATCTCCTGTTCTTTGGCGTAACCACACGCTTGACCCCTGGCCTGGTTCCCTGGGAGAGCAGGTCCTTTCTGAAATCCAGATCCTCTGAGCATCCTCTCTCTCTTTTTCCAACCGGCCTCCCCCTTTCTCATTTAATTTAGAGCTTGTAGGGAAAGAAACACCTTGTGTTTATCCTTAACAATTAATCCTTCACGATTAACAGGCAGAATTTACTACCCATCAGTACACCAGCAGTCTGTTCCTGGCCTACATGTGTCAATCCCATCCCTAACCTACGTGAGCAGGAAGCGGCTACTGGCCACCCCTCCACTCTACCCCACCCGAGAAGAGAACTCTTTCAAACTGGCTCCTTCTGCCTCCTGGACAGGGCAGCTCCTCAGCCTCACTTTCCTCATCTGGAAAATGAACATAATCACACTGCTTACTCTAAGGCTGTTGTGTGAGTTAGGATAGATGATTCGTGAACAGTGCCCTGGCTTCTCTAGATAATATGTGTGGCTAATCATGTGTTACAAACGGCTTAGTGTTGCATATGGGTTATCTCAGTGAAATCTTGTAACAATCTCCTGAGGTATGTACTATCATTATCCTCATTTTATAGAGCTCAGAGAGGTTAAGCAACTTCTCTAATGTCACACAATAAGTGGCTGAGACAGGATCCAAACCCAGACAGCCTGGCTGCAGAGTCCAAGTTCTTGACCAACTCAATGTGCTGCTTAAAGCAAGACTTCTCACACCTCAATGTGCTAAAGCAACCAGTCATGTTAGAGGCAGATGCTGATGCTGCAGGGCACGTGGGGCCTGAGATTCCGCATTTTGACAAGCCCCAGGGATGCCAGGTGAGGCCTCAGAATACATACTAGCATCTTTCCTTCTGTAGAAAGATAGTCTTTACAAGAAACCTGGATCCCTGGAATTTCTGAGCTGGAAGGGACCTTTGCAATCCCCCAGTTCCCCTCAGCATCCCACCAGGTGTTGGCTAGTGGGCATTCCCTCCACTCTCCAACTAGAGCCAGCCACGAGTCACCCTGGTAACCAGGGCCCCAGGGAGACAAAGTCCACACCGACCTCACCCGAGGCCTGGCCTGTGCCTCCCATTCAGGCCTGAGCCTGAATCTCAGAGGCTGAGAGATGGGGTCTCAGCCTCCAAGGCCTGGCTTTGATCCCAGACGGTGGTTTCCTATTAGAAAAGTCAGACCAAGGCCTCAGAACTACAGATGAGAATAAAGGATGTCACAGAAACAATGCGGGTCATCTCTGAGACAAACAGGTCCTGTGCCCGACCTCACCTGCCCGCCCCATGGATGGCGGAGGAGCCAGAGGAGTTACAGGTGGGCAAGACTAGGGGCTGCCTGCCAGCCGGGGTGATGAAAGACCAGGACGACAACGCAATTCTCAGGTGAACCTCCCAGACGGCATGCTGAGTCCAAGAGGCCAGGCTGAGAACACATGTGCTTCCCTTCGTAGAAGTTCAAGATCACACAACGCTGATCCACGGTGACAGGTGTCAGGAGGGTGGTCACCTTGGGGGTGGAGGGACCAGTTGCAGAGACACACGAGAGGCTTCTGGGGTGCTGGGGAGGTGCATCTAGAGGCTGGCTACACAGGTGTGTTCACTTTGTAAGGATTCATTGACCTGTACACTTAAGGTCTGTGTGCTTTTCTGTATGTATGTCATACTTCATTTAAGAGGCAACTAAAACAAACAAACAAAAAAAACCCCAACCTAGCTGCTAAACAAAAACAAAAGAAAACAGAACTAGGGCAGGCTACCAAGGGAGTCTGGGCTGCTCCACCCCAGGGAGGCTTCCCTCCCTGAAGGACAAGGCGGGGTGGGATGCGGGAACAGGGACGGGGTAGTGGGAACACTGCCATGCTCTGTCCTTCACGTGGAGGTGGACCAGCACTGACCAGGTGGAGCCTTCCTGGGTGCCCTGAGCCTGTATCCCTTTCACTCCCACGAGCCAGAGGGCACCCCGTTCACCAGGGCTGGTGGTTGAGGACATCGGCCCCCAGAGAGACTCATGTGACCCGTGCAAGACAGGCGCCCAGCATCTCCCTCCCCTTTCAACAGGCTAGTTCTTAAAGAGCTCATCTTCTGTTTCAGGACACTAAGTCAACCAAGCAAGCAGACTCTGAGTTCCACTGCCTGGAGGCAGGTCCCCACTGTACCACTTACTGCTCTGCGACCCAGGCAGCCCTTTAACTTCTCTGTGTCTCAGGGGTCTTCATCTGTAAGGTGAGGATAATAAGAGCACCTTCTTCAGACTTTCCTAGTGGTCCAGTGGTTAAAACTCCACACGCCTAATGCAGAGGGTACAAGTTCCATCGCTGGTTGGGGAAGATCCTGCAAGCTGCATGGCACAGCCAAAATAAAAAGATCACCATCCTCATACCGTAACTCTGACGATTTAATTAATACATGTGAAGTGCTGAGAACAGTGCCAGGTCCATAGTAAGGACTATGGAAGTGGATCTGTGCTATCATACTGCAGCATTTTGCAGACGTGTTAGGCACCACAAATGCGGGCCTTCAGGAGCAGGCCAGAGGTCAGGCGGCCAGGGGGACCGGGGTCCCGTGCTGGTGGTGTGGCTGAGAAGAAGTGCCCTGGCAGAGGGCTCTGGGGCTCCGTCTGTGCCCCCGGCCCTGTCACAGGGAGCCGGGAGGTTTAGGGAGGCACAGGGGTACCCAGAGAGGTGCAGGGAGCCCGCAGGAGTGGGGTCGATTTCCTCAGATCCAAGCCACCCTCCCGCTGCCGTCAGGGCGTCTTTCTGAAACAGACGCCTGATCATGCTGCCTCCTCCTCAGATCCCCGGGCAGCTCTGAGTGTGC